CAGACGGTCGGTCAGCCCCTTCGAAGGGCTGTAAACAAAGAGATACAAGATCAAAAACCGTTTGTACAAGCCCCTGGTTGTTTGGTTTTTGAACTTGTTCTTCTTTGTTTTCAGTCCTCCGACCAACAGACCGTCTGCCTTCCTCCTCCCTCGGCCGGCGGACTATGACAGCAGCCACTCGCTTGTGATCCGGTGGATCCGCTTCGTTAGCCGGAAGGTCCATCGGTTATATTTCAATTGTGCCACATGACCGGCCCATTCTCGTTTACGTTTACACATTTCCTGGACAATATCAACAAGGTCACTTCGTCTTCGCCCACTTCGCAGCTTCTACGTTCCATATCTTAGCATCACAGCAAATTTCTCTTCGTCCGCTTTCGTGGACGACCAGTACTTCGCGCTGTACAACAGCGAGGGTATCACCGTCGAGAGGGAGAGGGGCGTCTTCAGTTTTATCATGAGGTCCTCGTCGAGTATTAACGTTCAGATTTTCTGAAGCTAGACCACGCTGCCTTCCTGCGCCTGCTGTACTCTCCGCTGCTGCCTTCTGTTAAGTCGAGCTGTGTCCGAGGTACTTTAAGCCTTTTACTTCTTCGATGGTTTCGCCATTTATTTTGACTGCCGCTGTAGGACTCAACTGAAGCATCCACTTCGTTTTTGACAGATTCGTCTCAAGTCCGATTCTCCTCGAATTCATATGTAGCTGCACGAGTTTCTCCTGGAGCTCTATGGCATCATGCGCAAAAATGACGCAATCGTCAGCAGAGAGCAGATAGGCCAGGTGTTCTCCATCAAACTCCATACCTCCGGACCAGTCATGATCATCGAAGAGGCCTTCTAAAGTTAGTGTAAACAATTTCGGAGAAATCATATCGCCTCGTCGTTCTGCCCATATTTTTAATTGACATGGATCGCTAAAGAGCTTAATTCTCGTGGTACAGCCACTACTCAGCTCCTCGAGTAGGTCGACATAGTCCGAACTGCTTCCTTATCTACTCATCGCATTTGGTATTGCGTTTCTTCCGACCGAATCGAATGCTTTCATGTAGTCGACAAACGCCATGAATAAGGGAATCCAATACTCTCCACATTTTTCGGTGAGCTGACGTATAACTTGCTAATGATCAAGAGTGGAATACCAACTTCGAAATCCCGCTTGTTCTCGGCTCATGGCCATGTTTAGATCTCCGACTATGCGATTTAGGATTATTCTAGTGAAGGTTTGGTGTTGCATCCCACACGCTGCGCTCGTAGAAGTTTTCTTTCGATTGAGCTTCACCTATAGANGACAACTTGATAATTTTTTGCAGCTTCGCTTAATGCTCTTCGAAATGAAGCTGCAACTACATTGCATTCCCGGGAACACGAGCATTTCCTATGAAAGTTATTTTGAAATGTCACGTAAACTAATCACCCGAAAAGGACGTAAAAGCCAACTTCAAATATTTGAACGGAAAGTGTGGTTTGCCTACATTTTATTAGTGGAAGCTGAACATGCTGCCTCTAAAGAAATAACCTAGAAAACGAGGAAAGTGAGTGTTATGGGCTTACAGATTCTCAAGTGGTCTACCGTAGTCAATTATGAACAGCCTTAAATATCCAAGTTCAAGTTCTGGTTTGATGTGACCACAGTTTGAGAAGAGTATTCGACTAAATCAACAATCAGTTCTTTGGGTCAACTATGCAAACCCGACATTTTCACTCGACTTTCATTCTATCGATTGCACCATGCGGCCGACTTCATCGAGCAATGACCCCAACACTAGAGCACTTCTCATCGTCTGAACTCCTGCCCAGGAGAACATGATACGAACCGTTGAGAAGATGAGAGAAATATTCTTGGCGACATCATCCATTCCCCCGCTACCCACATCTGTCAATGGAATGTTTCGACTGGAGTTGTGGTCACATCTTACTTCGCAGACATCGGCACACATCTCTACACAAGCTGCGAGTTTATTCAGAAGCTACGCGTAGATAGTTCAGCGCGAAACTCTGGCAACATCTAGACATCGGACAAGGCGTCGCGCTTCTGAACAGTATACCTTCAGCACCCTCACTCCTATCTGAAATCGATGGTGAAAACCAAAAAGAGCCCCAATAAGAAGCCGCCATGTTTCCGCTGTAGTGGAACACATGGAGCGACGTAGTGCGACTTCATTGAAAAACGCTATCACGTATGAAATCGCGACAGCCTTGAGATTTTGCGGAACTCCCACCGAGGACGTCAACCGAAGAGGAAGCGATATGGGTCAATCACGACACCATCCCTTCACCATTACCGACATAGTTCTAATAAAACCCATCCACGACTGAAGAGATCAGTGGAACCACCACGAGCATGCACCTCGATACGGGCGCCAACGTCATTCTTCATATCACAAGGAGCATCGCCATAGGTGGTCAAATATCTGCCACTGTTGTTCAAGCTAAAATCTGCAAATAACAAGGAAGTCAGTATCCGTAATCACTTCGAGTGCTAATTCGCCACCAATGTACGCTGAGAGAGAGGAATCTGTCATGCGGCCGACACGAGTTCGTTATCGGCACTCGACAACATCGTGCAAGTAGAGCCGCTCTTCCATCACCTCATTGATTGTTGGAAGTATAACGTTCAATGCCAAGTCCGCTCGACACTAGCTACTGTGCGAAGGCCGCTTACCACACCGTTCAAGAGACAGTTCCTTGCCATATCCGTACCAAGTTTGTGAGCTGTACTGAAACAGATCCACCCTTAAGCTCAGGCCCGATGCAACCTTCGTAGTTCACCTTCTTCGGCGACAACGTCTTTGAGTTTTTCTCTGTTGTTGCATTCGCCACCTGATCTCACAAGTGTTCTTCTGATGATGTATTCAGCAATGATGCGTACAGGAAGAGAGACATAAGGCTGCATGAAGAAACCTACTCCAAATTCAGACACTAATAATAGGCGCTTAAGTCACTCAAATCGCCACGAATTTCGCCGCGCACATCTCCGGACGCACGATTATCCCGTNTGGCGTTAAAAGTAGTGGTGGCATCATTGGGCATATGTCAGCTGGATGGGCAGTTGGCTGGCCTATTAGCATGGTCAGCAGGGTGAATCAACTGGACGAGTTGTCCAATCATATACTGCGTCGAATAGGTGACGCGATGGGAGGGACAGCGATAAAAGACCTCCTCTTGGCTACAAAAGATGTTGGATGTCACGACGTGTAGCTATGTAACTACAGTAATCGAAAAATGTTCAAAATTGTTTTCTAATCAACTGATGATCCTGGTGTAAGTGGTTTATTCTGCGCTTGCGCATACTTACTGCTACTCTAACAGAACAGGTATTCAGAACATTGCTTGTCACGAGGAGTAGCAGTGGAAGAGAGAATAGTCTGAAATATCAGAACACACGCTATAACAATCAGCTGAATGATTTTTCATCAAAGTAGCTCCAATGGCTGCTTTCATAGTCCGCCGGTGGCGAGCCGGCGTGCCGGCCGGCCGGCCGACCGTCGTGCCACGAGGCAATGCTAGGGTGGAGGAGGGCGGCAGACGGACGGTCGAAGGGTTAAAAAAAAAGAACAAGATCAAAAACCAAACAAGCAGGGGCTTGTACATGGTTTTTGGTTCCTGTCTCTCCTTGATTACAGCCCTTCGAGGGGCTGACCGACCGTCTGGCGCCCTCCACCCTAGCATTGCCTCGTCGGCCGGCCGGCCGGCGGCTATGAAAGCAGCCAGTGCGAACACTGGCGCCCAGTAATTAGATTTCATAGTCGGTTACAAAGATGTTGCCAACTAAATTTTTTCTCGCCGAGAGATTCAGACGGAGAAGCAGTCTCTGCGTGACGTGTCTGCCAGCGGGAAGTAGGGCGTGTCCGCTCGCTCCCTGTACTCTCCCTTTAGGAATGGACATGTGAACGGGTACACGAACCGAGAAAAAAAGTGGACCATTTGTATTTATATTCGGAGATGGAGGAATGGGAAATGAGGGATAATTATGAAGAGCAGATTGCCACGGAGTGTTAATGTTTGGTAAGTTCATGCCCTGAAAGAAATGGCCCTATTTTCGTTGCAGTGTCTTCAGAACATCTGCATAGCGTCCTGACACTGCTAAAGCAGCTGTGTGGTCTTGCAGGAAATCCAGACTTTTTCAGCATTCTAAACTTATTCTTTATATTAGTAAACCCTGAAAACAACAGCGAATGGAAACATTCAAAGATCTGCAATCGTCTGAAACCAACGGTTTGTATTGTGGCTGTATGCAGTTAAGGATGGCCAGCTCTTCCGTCTGCGCTGTATCCTCCTGCAAGTGAGATGCCTATCGAAGAGGGGGCAAAGAAAACGACAGATGCGCTGAGTCACTGGCTGCTTCCATAGTCCACGATTTGGCCCGCGAGCGACTGACGACTGATATAGCGACCGACCGACCGACCGAGCGAGCGAGCGAGTGGGGCGGCGCTTGTCCCCTGTTTACAACTGAATCTTGGTCGATACCGCGAGCAAGCGCCGCCCCAATCGCTCGCTCGGTCGCTCGGTCGGTCGGTCGGTCGGTCGGTTGCTCGCTCGCGGGCCGAACCGTGGACTATGAAAGTAGCCATTTCGTCAGCGGTTGACAACGGTTGTGTAACCTTCATAGTCAGTCTAATGGGAGGTGTAGCATATACACGATACAATCTCTGGCCCCTATTGTTTTTCAACCTTACAACCGGCAGGTCTGCTATAATGAGAGGGACCTGAACTTGTACTAGGGGGAATTCTCAGGCATAATTTTTATCGCGAAATGTGCCTTTGACAGGTAGGAAGAATGCGGTCGATTTCAAAGAGGAACTTCTTTGTCAATAATCTATATGTGTGTTACGCTGCTTATTGTTGTTGAATAAGTGTCTCACTTTGTGAACAGTGCAAAAAACATTTCAAAGCTTGACACATACTACTAGGCTGCCATAGTAACTAAGTCGAATTTTCAGGTACACCGCTCACCCCCTGTACACCATGTGATGGACCAGATCTGTTTATTATGCCATGAAATGTTCTCACATGAAGCGCCGAATCTTCGCGCAGAATGTCGAGCCAACTGTTTTCGAAACGATCAGTTCTCCTCCTGCATAGCAATGTTCAGCTCAAAAAATCGTTCGAGAGCGGAACGTGAACGATAGTATGCCAGAAACCAAGCTACTCATCATTGCTGTATAAGTTCTGCTCCACAGTTGAGCAAGCTTTTCTTATGAAGACATTGGGAAGGAATAACACCGTGGATATTTAGGTGTTAATTACAATAATATGTATTCTGAAGGGTAGTGATAGTTTTGTACCCGAGCATGGTTTTATTATACATATCAAACTATACACTTGTAATGACGTCCACATCAGCTATTCGTGAGAGTGTGCAAAATGGTTGATAGTTGTGATCTCATTATAGTTTTCTACCTTCTTATCGGCAAGTCATTGATCTCGACACAAATTTCTGGATCTCTGGAAATATTTCTTAGGTATCGCTCATTGTTCTGGAATCGTAGAAATGTGGGGGTACGACACTGCAAAGCCGAGATAACCGTTGCCTGCTCTACTATACATCTTCATTCCACCTTTCCAATTCTCCACATCCCCTGAATCAATATCAATCGTTCAATTCGTATTTGAAAAGAATGAGGAGTTCTGCGGGTAAAAATGTAGGTAAAGAGGTGGGTGGGGGGGGGGGGGGGGGGGGGGGGGGGCAACCCCCATCTCTAACACTAAGCGCTGGAGCGTAGAGATGGAGGATTATTTGGCACTGTGGGCCCGTGATGGTTTGGAGCTCTGTGGGCCAAAGTCATAGGTGGGGAAAACATCGAGATGTATGAGTGCTGCCTCAGCGGCACACTGGCACGCTTCCGTTTACATTTTGAACGGAAATGAATCAATGGATTTAGGGTCAACTGAATGTTCAACTTTTCCACCATTCCAGCTCTTTACTAGAGTCTACCATCTCAATTGCTCAGATGCGCCTATCCTTCGAGAGCTAGGTTGAAAAAAAACTGTATTCCCTTACCGAAAAACTTTTTCAGCGCAGCACCATTGCAGATCAGCAAATCTGGTTACTCCTCCTCTGCGCTCTTGGGTTTAGAGTTAGCGACAAGAGTTATCCCTACCGCACCCTCGCCCCAACTCCACTTTCTTCGCCCTGCGTTTGATTTTTCTTCGTTTCAACAACCCTACATTCTCTCACTTTAGTCCCACGTATCTCACGCTAGCAGCGAATTGTACGACTTCGCATTTCATTGCTCCCACATTTCCACGATTCCCTGTTTCCTCACGACTTACTATTTATGAACAATACCTTACGGGTATTGTGTTCGTGCATATCAATATTGCAACAGATAGATTCCAACAACAATAAATATTCTATTCTACCATTATGTGTGGTGTTATCACCCTTCACGACTCTCCTGGACAGAATAGGCAACGCGAAGCCGATTTGTAAAGGGATTGAGGAAAATGTCCGCTCGTCTCCTGCTTTTAGAATGTCCTTGGATGGATGAACAGAATTTGGCTTTCTCTGTGCAAGATTAGTGAAACATTGCCGCACAGAGATGAGCAACACAAAATATGTACTACACCTGTGGTTAATAAGTTTGTAAGAGGTTCTCTCTTTACTGGTAGGTCTAGGAGTCTTGGGCGATTTGAATCACCCGTTCATGCTGTCTGGACGGCCTGCAGCTCACACTCACGAATCCTGTTAGGTCATTCGGTGTTTAATCAACAACAAGAAATCAGATGGTTAGGGACGAATTCGTGGTGGCGAAGGGATTGAGGAAAATGCAGGAGGGGTAAGCCGTAGGAAAAGTGCTGTTAGATGAGAAGAGCTGGTGAACAGAGCACTGTTCCTATAGTAAGTATGCAATGAGTCAAGTATGTAGTATGAAAAAACAAACCTCTGCTTGCAATTCAAATGCGTGCCTAGAGGGTTTTTCTGCAGGGAGGTGGCTTTTGACTCAGAAATATGGAAGAAGCTTGAACGTATTTTACTTCAGAATTGATATCGACTGCTCACTTCATTCCAGTTCTTACCATTAGATCCGTTGTAGATCACATCGGTCCATTCTCAACTCGCTCCATCTCCGACTGTACACTTCTCTTTCCCTTCTCATCTAGAGATAACGATTAACTGAACCCAGCACGTGATACGAAGCAGACAGGACAGATGAGACAACCGGTGAGCATGGTTGTCCACCAACAATGACAGGGATGAACGTCGGAGCGCTACTACACCAGATAATCGGTGGTTTCAGTTAAAGCATCTGCTTCAGTATCCTACTTACATTGAGTGACGTAAGCAGGATGTTGAAACGGATACTTAAATTTCCTCGGTCTGGGAGGAAGCGTGACTTTTTCTCTTCTGCTCTGTTCCAAGATCAGAAGATAATGTGTATTTTCTTCCAAGCTGCGAATCTTCAAAGGATTGGGTATGGTGAAGCTTGGAGGCTTCTAAGCTGGTTCTGCGGCTCACCAACCCATAAGTGAAAGAAAATTTTTAAGAGCAACAGTAGGCAGTCTGACCTGAGATTCATTTCTTTCTTCGACGTAGTTGCTATGCACACATCAGTATCAGAAAGCACCTTCTGCTCCTCAACTATCCGCTCTCAATTACCTTTGTCTGCTGTCTCTAAATCCGTGAATTTTACAAGTTCAACCAGGATGATATACGCTGCTGAAGGTCCGATGGGCCGGCGGGCAATTCGGCTCGGCAGGGCCGACCCCACACTCCCTCCAATGGAGGGGTGTGGGCTCGGTCCTGCTGAGCCGAATCGCCCGCCGGCCCATCGGACGCTCGGTTAACCTGAAGTGAGCTCATCAACCGGATCGCCAGGCTGACATAGCTGACGGGCAAGCCTTGCTAATGATCTCATGGTGTAACGGATAGGAGCCCGGCCTCATTTCTGTGAAGGGGCGGGTTCGGATTCGCGACGTTGCACCAAAGATTTATTGCTCGAATTACGCATGAGAGCGCATTTAAGCTGGGCCATACCTGTGGATTAGGTCAACTGACTTTGCAGAAAGTGTAGACTCCGGAACACAGCGGATTCCTTATACTAGCCATTTAACTTAAACACTTCAGGACTTCCCACTTACGGTCTCTTTAGCAAATTATAAAGCTCCAGTATTGAACACCACCATGTATGTACAGTGTTCCCTTGTGGCTTCGGAAAGTTGAAGATCAGCACCTTGCAGCTCCCACGTAGTCTAACAATAAATAGCCCATTTTTCTTCCTTAGCGCGCAAAAATCGGAAGGTTGACTTTTTCAAGAGTAGGCTTTTCGATTTTTTGATCGTCGTGATGATAACCACTGCGTCTAACTGCTTCGGAGTTTGGCTTGGCATGGAGACAAGCGTTGGGTTTCGAAAGTGATCTTCTGAAGCAGCTACATTCCTTCTCCGTGAATATTCGAAGAAGGAAAAGTGCTTTCACTGGCATGATTTTTCCTCGCCAGATGATTTTCAGTAAGTCAGTGAGCGACTTAACCATCAACACACATTCAACTGTCGTTCTCGGATGCTTGCGCCTGAATTGAACCAAGTAGTGGTGAAATTGGAAAACTCGGCCCACATGTACCCTTATAGCGGAGAATTCAATAGGCTCGTACCCGCAGTGGCTATTGCATTCGGAGTTGTTTGTAAACATCTAAAATGTCCGGGTATAATATCCCCACTCGATTGGGCTCTATGAAGGAAAATTTCGAATCCCCAGTTGAAGAATACGGCCACTGTCGGATATTCGGAGGAAGTTCCGCCACCCAAGCTGTTCCACACCAAGGAATGCCCCTTTCGAAAAGGTCTGACTCAAAGACTGTCACTAAAATCAGTCTCTATCAAAGAGGCATGTGTCAATTTTGAGATGTCCCCTACTCCCTGCCTTTACCTAGGATGCATATGACAAGAAGGGATGACCCAAAGATCATTTTGAGGACTACATTCGATGCGAGAGCGAGTATAAGCCCGATAAAGTGCATCGGTGTCACTGAAGATTAATTTCTATCAAAAGCTCATATGCCAGTTCCGAGAATACCTCAAAGATAACAGATAAATTTTTCGGCGTTCTAGGTAACTTACTCTGCAACGTAGTCCTAGCAGTTTCGCTTGCCCGAAAGCTTATTACTGAAGGCATTCTGAAGCATGACGCATCTGAATTATGGCAGCAGGGGGATTTGGAATTTCTCCAGCGAGCAAGAGCGGCTCAAACTTAACTAAGACCATACCATTATAATAATTTGACATCATAAAACGCAGCAACTGGTCATAGCAGTCTTCAATATATGAAAATCGATCTCGCTCCATAGCTAGCAGACAGCAGAGCCGAATTTTTTGACTCGTTCACCCACAAGATCACTAATCCTTTGATACTAGCTTCCAAAGGCGTTGAAGCATGTATTTTGTTAATTCCAGAAGTTTAAGAGCCGGCTCTACTTTGAACAGATCCCTGTGGAAGAACTCCATGCCTAGAAGCTGTTCCGTAAGCGCTTCAGCGAAATACCCCGCACTCCACGTGCTCTTCTCTTTTCTCTCTGTACAAGGGAAGAATTCTCTTCGTGCAGACGTAAACCATGAGTTCCAAAGAGCCTCTGAGGATTCTCTTGATGTTATACTCTGAACTTTTGAATGCCTTGGCTGTCTTGGGCATATTTCCAATCGGAACCCGAATGACCCTCTTACCGACATCACTTAGCCGTAGAGATATGTCAGACCTCTGAACAGCTCTCCTCGGGCTCTATGCACTGTCAAGCTCTTGGAAACTGCTGAATCTTCTGGGCGCTGGAATTGAAGCTGTGCTTCAGCACCCGGCCATACTTGTTCAGCGATTTAGGGAATCGGTAATAATGGTGGTACTTTACCAACTTTGTTAGGCTTAATGGATCGCCACCAAACTCGAAACCTGGCCAAAAAGACTTAACAATTCAGGGACAGATATGAAAATTCTGCCGAACACTCTTCAAAAAAAGTTAATTGTCCATAATTGTTAAAAAAATTGTGGCCATAAGCTCCACCCACGGCCCTTCCGCCCCAAATAGCTCCCTACAACTTCGCTGTTATATTTGGTTGCATCTGTTCAATAGAGGAAACCAGTTTCACGGCGTCCTATTCCAGTCGACCTCTACTGCAACTATTTCTACTTTATTCCTTGACAAGCCTACTGGGAAGACCACGGAACTTCCTTAGTCGGAATGGGAACTGGTGATTCGACCAGCAAAATTAATTGTCCAACAGCTGAATCGTAGCGGTCATCAACGAAGTCTGAACTCTGAATTTCTATCTGATCGGTTCCAGTTGATCATAACCAAGGAAGACGACGAATAAAAACTTTTTTTTATTATTTTTGCCTTTAAAAAAAGGAAATGACATGCATTTGGAATTATCGATCGCTTGAAAAGGGTTTAAGAGACTCGTCGCTACGCGTCACCGGTATGGCATTTGATTGACCGGCTATGAAGCAAATTAAATACATACAGCACTAAATTATGATAATTCGTGGAACACAGTTTGGAAAAAAAATAGTAGCAGCAATCAGGCAAACAAACGAGAATCGCCTCTGGGAAAAGCCGTTCGTCAATGTTTTCGACCGTAAAACAAGGAAATATCGAGATAATACCGAAAGATAACGTAACCCACAGCATCTACAAACGCAATTCCGGACTAACAAAAAAAAACACATCGATATAAGAAATATATACATAAATTCAAAAAACGAACAACAGCAATTACATGTATGACAGTTTTAAAA